CGCTCGTCAGCGCTGGCAACTTTGCGCTAATTAAGTCATCGGAAATCCACTGATTGCCTTCTGCTCCGTCAGCCAATTACCCCCGCCGCTCCCTCGCGCGGGTCGAAGGTTCCAGGGTCGGCCATGTGTATATATATATATATGCCCCAGCAGTCCTCTGGAGTAGCTGACTCTGAGCGCTGGCCAAGTTCGCGCGCAGGGACAGAGGCGACGTCCATGGGGCCGAAAGGCGCGGAAGTGCAAGAAGCTGCGCGTGGCTCTCCTCAGCCAGTGAGACTTCGTTCCCGCCGCGTGGGCGCTCGGTTGCCGGCTCGCCAATCCGACGAACTCCGCTGCGCGACAATGGGCCAGTCTCCCGGGGGGGCAGGGCGAGAGGCCCCCGCCGCTCCATCATCACGGGGCCATTCCCATCCGCGGCCAGTCCTAACATGGAACGGCCGGGCGGAACGGCGCCCTCTGCCATCGCAATGGGCCTGCTCTCCTCGAGCAGCCTGAGTGCATCCGGACAGTCCGCCATCGGCCAGTCGTGGATATTTCGGCGCCGATCTCCATGCTGGACCTTCGCCCATCGGAGGGGCGCCGAGGGCCCCGGGGTCCGTCCCGCGGGACATGGAGAATTCCCGATGGTGCTCGGTATTCCAGAACCCCTTGCAGTCGCCCCCACGGACCCACTCCGTCGGTCGTGACGGCATTGCCCATTGCATCGGATTCCCCCACTGGCTTCTCCAGGGAGCAAGGCGAGTCCGCAAGCGAGTGCATCGCGAGAACGCTGCTCGGAATCGACCCGTCCTTGCTGATGGGGTTCCTCCAAAAGGCTCGTTTGGTCAGAGATTCTGGCCCGTTCCCTGGCGCGCCGCGGGCGTCGGCTGCAGGGCCATTGGCGGGCGGCGCGCGGGCGTCGGATGCGTCTCCCACCGATCTCCTCGGAATGGATATCTCCATCCCCGCTCGATACTGGAATCCAAATCCAAGTGCCGCGTCGACTGTCGAAGTAATGAACTCGGCAAACTCCCGCGCCGTTCTTCCACTGTCACTGGTGAAATGCCGCGCGTCAGAATGCGGTGAGCCGTTGAACGCAAGCGGCCCGGTCAAGATTGCGCGCCTCGCTGGGCGACCCATCCGCGCCCAACGCAGCGCCCTCTACCGCGTCGCCGTTCTTGCGCGCGAAACTAGCAGATTCCAAACCTCGCGCGGCCTCTATTAGGTTTGCCCAGGGGTGGCCCAGCTGTCGCAGGCTCCGCCCGCGACTGAGGTGTAGAATCGGCTCTTATGATCCTCCGACTCATGTGTATCGATCAGCTTCTTGCAGTCGGCCGCGGCTTTCCCTGGCGCAACCTGCATTCCCTCGACGCCCTTCTCCTCGAAGCCCACGGGGTGGCAGGAAGCCGAAGCCACCGTGGCTAGTTCACTCGAGGTCAGAAACATGACTGCGCGTTGTCGGCCCAACTCTTCCGCGTAATGCGCGCTGCCCTTGAATGCGCCGAAATTGAACTTTCTGGTTCCTCCAACCTCCTCCGCCGACGTGGCCGCGCTACTGCAGAAACTGTCGGCCTCAATGAAGTAGTTGGACGTAGCGGAACCAAAGGGGTCCATCGTTGTTTTGCTGCTCCTTTGCAACTTGCCAATTGGGTATCATATTCTCCTCGCTACTCCTCACTTCGACTAGATCGTGTTACTCGGGCGTCCATGCTGAATCTCGTCCACCATGGCGACATGGTCTCGGCGCTTCACCCCAGTCTGAGCGCGTGCAAAGATGCCGCGTCCCAAAAATTGGCCAATGATCCTGATGTTCTCCATGACGTGCGACATGGCCCCGCAAGTTTGCGGATAATCCAGCGGGGGCCCGCGCCGGGGCAATTGGCGGCCTTTTGCGCGCGCAGATCTGTCTCAAAATCCCCCTATCCTTTCCCGCGCGCCTGATTCTCGGGCGGGGTCGGGGCCCTTTCCTGCCTCACCAGCCGATTCCTTTCTGTGCAAGGCCCTCCGCGACCCCGCGACCAACTTTCCTCGGTTGTGTCCCGAGTCCTGCGAATCGGGATCAGGTGGTCTTCTGCCCCCGTCACCGTCGCCGCCGCCCCCTCCCTCGCCGCCGCCAGGACACGAGCTTCCCGCGGCAGAGCCGCGGGCAAGGTCATCTTCACCTGGGGCATGGGGTCGACCGCCACAAGGGTGGGCGGAGCCTCCGGGCCCGCCGGCGCCAGTCGGCACGGGACATCCCCCCAGACCAGCGGGGGGTGGGCCCTCAGACGGGCCCGCCGCAGTCGCGCGCGGCACAGGGACCTCTGCCCCTTCTATCACTTCTATGCCTTCGCTCGGCGAGTTCCCAGACATGGCCTCTGATTCGGTTGTGGCGTGGTCATAGCCAGCGGGGTCGCCCCGCCGCAGTTCAGTTCCGCCGCCCCCCGTCGGCCGTTATCAGGCTCGGTCGGGGCGCACTCCTGTGCCTCGAGGGCGCGAGGCGGGCGCAGCTGCGGCAGATTTAAAAGGTCGCCCACGCTCGCGGTAGGCCGTCGGCGGGAGCTCCCCACCATCGAAAAAAATCGAAAACGGGATGTCAACGTAGGTGCGCTGGCCAGCCGCATTGAATCCCACGCGCGACGCCGAACTCGGACTTGCGACCGCTCCTCGAGCGACTGTGACTCAACACGAGGAGCTTGCGGGCCAACATGTACATGCGGAACCTCGTTTTGCCCGACCATTCCAGCACCCTGTGCCCGTGCAGCAAGATGAACATTCAGATCTCGAGCCGTCGTCTGTATTGAGCAAGCCGAGGCACCAACTGGCCTTCCACGTCAGTTGGGTTTCGCTGTCGCCTCTGACTTGGCGTTGGCTACGAATTGATGCGGAAATTGCACAGCGTGTGGAGAATCCAGCGCCAAATTCTCTTCGCCAATGCGTTGCCGTAGTTCACGGGATTGGTCTGCTTCGACGGTTGCTTTCGGTGGTCCATTGTATCCAACGCATTTCCATATCGAATGCGGTTGGGCGCGTCCTGGCCAGTCTTGGCGATCTCCTCCTTGCATCGTTCATGGCCCCTTGCCGAAGGTCGTGCCGCAGGCTGCGCACTGCGAACAGAGACATACGCCGAACTTAGTCCACTCCTGGACAGCGCGCGACTCGTGGATACGACCGTTGCCCATAACTCTGGCGCCCTTGGATTCAATGACTTCGTTCGCCGTTCCGCAATTTGACCATGTCATGGTCGGACTTATTGGCAGCCTCTGCCTGCTTGCCGATGGTAACCATGACTTCTGCGGTAAATGGCCGTTGGGCACACCAAGGGCACGCCTGTGCTGAGCCCGCGAAAACTTAACCAGCGCGCAACCGAACGTGATCGCAAATCTCACATCCATACGAGGAAACGGCTCGAGAACTCTACCCCGCAAGGTGCCAACGGCAACTGCAGCAAGGGCAATGAACTGTAAATCCGCTTCGGGGGGCAGGCCTGAAAGCAGCAATTGCAGCTGCAGCCTGCGACGCTCTAGGGCCCCCTGTGGGGCGATGTCGGCGCAAGGCCTCGGCTACGCGCCAGAGGCCTGCCGGGGGCGCCCCCCCAGTGAGCTGCAGTGACAGGGGGGCCCGAAAACAGAGCCGACAGTCCCCCAAAACTAAGAAGCGGAGGCGGGCTGCGGGCTGTGGGCGTGCCTGGCCGAGGGCCATCTCTCCCAAGGCAAGGGCCATCGAACCACTGATCGATGCACTTGCACCAGAGAAACCCAATCAGTGAATGGCTTGAAATTCGTAATTTGGATGTTGAGATCGATTGTGAAATCGACATTGGGAACGATAGTGGGACGGATAGTGAGGGCGATCGCAAGGACGATCATGAGACCGACAAGTATAATCGATTCAGTGAGATCAAGAAAGACCTCCATCGTGAGATCGCTCGTGCGATCTACAGTAAGATTGATTGCGACATCGATATTGGGATCGATTATTGCGAGATCGATAGAGAGGTGAATGATAATATCGATGGTTAGACCGATCGATAAGGAGATCGACCAAAAAGCCGGGAACCCGGAAACCCCGGCACACCGCCGCCCACCGAACTCGGCCCAGAACCAGCAACCGGGGACCCGGGAACCCGGAACAGGGAAGCCGGGGACCCAGCCGCCCTACCGAAATCGGCCGCCCACTTTCGTCAGATCCTTCAAGATCCGCTGGGACCCCTTCGGTGCAAACGCACTGTGCGCTGGGCGCTCGCTCGCTCTCTCTCTCTCTCTCTCTCCATATTCCCCTCCCTCTCTCTTTACCTTTCTCTCTCATTTTCTCTCTTTCTTTTTTTTGTTCTCCCTCTCTCTCTCTCTCTTTCTCTCCCCCACCCCTCCTCCAGGAAACGGCGGCAAAGCGAATCCTCGTTGGCGCCTTGCGCACCCGGAAATCAGGCGTCTCTTTTTTTCTCGGGGTGGGGACTTCCGCTGCCCCGGGGGTTGGGACAAGGCACGCAGCAACACGAAGCGCAAGAGAGAAGGGGAAAGGGAAGAAGCAGAGCAGAGCAGGGCTCGACCACCACGGTGTTTTTCGTTTTCGCTCTGCTTTCGTTTCCCCCAATTTTGTCATCAGTCCGCCTCTGCTGCAGAAAGAAGTCGAAGCAGAAACGGCCCACGACTTCGCCAAAACACCGTTTGAGTCGACCCCTGGAGCAGAGCAGGGAGACAACGAGAGAAGCTCGGCCCGCATTCTCTCCTACTCGGCGAGGGGGCGAGCTCCGGAGAAGGGGGAGGAGCAGGGGGAGGAGAGGAAGAGGAGGAGGAGGAGGAGGAGAGGAGGAGGAGGAGGAGGAGGAGGAGAGGGGAGAGGAGAGGAAGGGGAGGAAGAGGAGGAAGAGGAGGAGAGGGCGGAGGAGGACAGGAGAGGAGGGGGAGGAAGAGGAGGAGGAGGACGAGGAGGAGGAGGAGCAGGAGGAGCAGAGGAGAGAGGAGGAGGAGCAGGAGGAGGAGGGAGGAGGGAATGGAGAAGGAGAGGGAGGCGGAGGCGAGGGGGCGAGCTCCGCCAGGGGCCTCTGCCAGGGCCTCCGCCCCCGCGTCGCCGATGAGATTGTCGCGCAGCGAGAGGCGCCTGCGCCCACGGCTGCGTTCCGCCGCGAGCGCGCGATGCGCGCGCTCCTCCTCGCTCCCTCCTCCCCCTCCTCCTCCTCCTCCTCCTCCTCCTCCTCCTCCCCCTCCTCCTCCTCCTCCTCCTCCTCCTCCTCCTCCTCCTCCCCCTCCCCCCCCTCCTCCTCCTCCTCCTCCTCCTCCTCCTCCTCCTCCTCCTCCTCCTCCTCCTCCTCCTCCTCCTCCTCCTCCTCCTCCTCCTCCTCCTCCTCCTCCTCCCTCCTCCTCCTCCTCCTCCTCCTCCTCCTCCTCCTCCTCCTCCTCCTCCTCCTCCTCCTCCTCCTCTTCCACGGGTGCACAATCTGAATGCTACTCTCCTCTCTCCCCCGATGACGTCCGGAAGATCTCTGGCCCCCTCCGCGTATTGCTTTAACTCAAAAGATTCCCGGGAACAGAGTTTTTCGCTTGCTTTTTTTCGAAATGCTGCTCCCGCTGAACCGCTGGCCATTTTTGCTCGGGCTTCCGCTCGTTCCGAATCGTGCTCCCGCTGCATCGCTGGCCTCATTTCCGCGCTTCCGCTCGTTCCGAATCGCGCTCACGCTGCAGCGCTGGCATTCCTTCTAACTAGACCCCAAAATCTAAAAAATGCCCCCCCGAGAAAACCATTGGCCGCAAAAGCCCCCCCCACTTTGGGGCGTCGTCGTTTTCAGAAAGTATCAAGCGGGAGCCCCGCTTCTGCTTTGAGAAGGCGATGTTGGAAGCAGAGACAGCGGGCGCTCTCCATCAGCCCTGCATTATGTGGAGCGAAGCCCAAGGAGCTAGACATGGAGCCACGACTCCAGACCGACCCAGACCTCTCGAAGACGATCCACTTACCCTCCGAAGAACCTGGCGCCATGCCATGACATGCTGTGCGGTGTTGTGTTCTGCGCCGCTGTGCGATGCCGTGCTTTGCGTTGCAATGCTTTGTGATGCGATGCTTCACTGCGCAATGCCACGCCATACAATGGCATGCTACGCTCTGCCGTGCTCTTCTACGCCATGCCATACCGTGCTCGACCATGCATCGCGTACCCTCTCGCGATCATTGCCCTGCTCGATATCCGACTGTGCGCATAGAGAAGATATTTACACCATGGTAAGGGATGGGAGGGAGGGGTTGTCCTCCTCCTCCTCCTCCTGCTCCTCCTCCTCCTGCTCCTCCTGCCGGTCCTCCCCTTCCTCCTCCTCCTCCTCCTCCTCCTCCTCCTCCTCCTCCTCCCTCCTCCTCCTCCTCCTCCCCCTCCCCCCTGTCCTCCTCCTCCTCCTCCTCCTCCTCCTCGTCCTCCTCCTCCTCCACCTCTTCCTCCTCCTCCCCCCTTTTCCCCCTCCGCCTCCTCTTCCTTCCCCTCCTACTCAGCAGCAGCATCATCATCCTGCTCCGCTAGCCACGCTACTGACGTTAACGCTCTGCTCAAACGCCAGGCTCGGGGAAGGCGAGGGGGCGGTCTCTGCCAATCATCTGATCTCTCCACGTCCTCCTCCTCCTCCTCCTCCTCCTCCTCCACCTCCTCCTCGCCGCCTCCGGCCACGCCCATGCCAACGCCTCCTCCTCCTCCTGCTTCTCCTCCTCGTTTTTACTTCTCATTATGCTCCCCCTCCTCCTCCTCCTCCTCCTCCTCCTCCTCCTCCTCCTCTTCATGACCATCCCTCTTCCTTCTCCTCCTCCTCCTCCCTCCTCTTCCTCCTCCTCCTCCTCACTCCTTATCCTCCTCATCATTATGCTCCCCCTCCTCCTGCTGCTGCTTCCTCCTCCTCCTCCTCCTCCTCCTCCTCCTCCTCTCCTCCTCTCCTCCTCTCCTCCTCTCCTCCTCTCCTCCTCTCATCTTCTCATCCTCTCATCCTCTCATCCTCTCATCCTCTCATCCTCATCAGCATCATCATCAGCATCATCTTTCCTCCTCATCTTCATTCTCCCCGTCCTCCTACGCAGAAGAAACCCAATCGTTGAACACGTCGCCAGTGCACTGTGCGCGGAGACGCTTGTTTGTTGCCTGCGACAAAAGAATCTGCTTCGGATAACTTGATCAGCCACGGTCCGTTCAGTGCAAGCTTGTAGGTAGCGCGGGCGTCAACGCTCGGCGTCGAACGGCGATCCCTGGGTGTTGTTGCCTATCCGCGAGGTGGTCCACTACAACTTTTCCCATCATGCATTGCTCTATCCTTCTCCCCAGCTTCTTCCCCCTCCTCCTCCTCATCATCCCCTTCCAACCCCTCCTACTCCTAGGTGGTGTACCCCTTCCAAGCCGCAAGAAACACAGCAACATGCCGGCGATATGATGGCTTTGGACGGTGCATGCAACACGTCATGAATAAGTTCGCCTCAAACTGCTCGCCCACGTCTTCCTCAGGGTCATCCTTATCCTCGTCCTCGTCGTCGTCATCCTCGTCGTCGTCGTCGTCCGCTACCTCCTCCCATACTGCCTTCCTCGCTTCCTGATTTCACGCCTGCCTGACTTCGCGCCCCCCTGTCCGAGAAGGAGGAGGGGGACCGCTGAGGGGCTGCGAGCGCAGGAAGAAACAACTGCATAAACATACACTTTCGACGGTCCACGCGGATTTCTTGAATCTGCGCTGGACCCTTCTCCCTGGCGCGCGGAGCGCGCCAGTGTTGGAGCCGGAGGCGCCGCCTGGGGGGGCCAGCTCAACTCTACGAACTCCGCACGGACCGTCGAGAATCGATGCTTCTGCCGTGCTTTTCCGTCGGCGGCGAGCGAGGGGGGAAGTGAGAGGGAGAAGGCCATCTCAGAGGGCGGCTTCTGAGAATCTTCCGCCTCTTGGGACGGCTCAGAAAACTTCTCAGAAGGCCAAGGGACTTCTGAGCCTTCCGAGAAGGCCCGCCCCTTCTCACTTTGAAGGGGCCCTGGGACACACAAATAAATACACACAAACAACAGGCTTCCCCATAGTTTCCCATGTGTCCTGGGCTTTTGTGCTTCCCCCCACTGACAATATTTTCCCATATCTCTTCCTGGGGGCCGACGATTCATCGTGTCTGTGTTTGTTTTTGGTCCCCCTCCTCTCACTTCCCCCCTTCGCTCGTCGCCGAGGGGTAAAACGAGGCGAGGATCGGGACAAAATCGGATCGGGATAACTCGAAATCTCTGAGAATCGGCGGGTTTGGAGGATGCATTGGGCGCCGCGGCTGCTCCAGAGCGTTCCGGAACGCTCTGAGAGCGCTCCGGAACGCTCTGGAGCGATTTACCCCGATCCTAGCCCTGTTTTAAGGGGGCGCGGCGCTGCCCCCCCCCCCCCGGGGGCCCGCGGCGCCTGATCCTGGGGGTCGACGATTCATTGTGTCTGTGTTTTTTTTGTTCCCCCTCCTCTCACTTCCCCCCTTCGCTCGTCGCCGACTCCTCCTCCCTCGAGGGAGGGGGCGCGGCGCTGCCCCCCCCCCGGGGGCCCGCGGCGCCTGATCCGGGCGCCGGCCCCCAGGGCCAGGGCGATGGCGCGGGCGCCGGCGTCCCCGACGCGGTTGTCCGCAAGGCTCAGCTCGCCGAGGCCCTGCCCTCTGCCGAGGCTCCCCACGCAGGGGCCGCCCCTTCCCTGCGAGCCTCGAGGTTCGAGGGTCGAGGCGAGGAGGAGGAGGAGGAGGGGGAGGAGGAGGAGGGGGAGGAGGAGGAGGAGGAGGAGGAGGAGGGGGAGGAGGAGGAGGAGGAGGAGGAGGAAGAAGGAGGGAGGAAGAGGAGGTGGAGGTGGAGGAGGAGGAGGAGGAGGAGGAGTAGGAGGAGGAGGAGGAGGAGGAAGAGGAGGACGTGGTTCGACTCCTGTTGCGCCTCGGGGAGGCTTCTCGTCGCCATGACTGGCTTCCCCCTCGAAGTTCTGGCCAGAGCGCGCCCCAGGAGACGTCCGGGGGCTGCACCCCCAGTGGAGGGGGTGGTGTGGGGTGGGGAGGGGGAGCTCCGCAGCGCCATCGCACTCAAGACGGCCCAGATACGACCCGACTGGCCCCAGAGAGGCCTCCAGGAGGTCACCAAAATGCCCCGAGACGCTTAGAGGATCGCTTGAAACCGTTTGAATCGTTCGGGGCTTTTGAGACCTGGTCCTTGTCGTCCTCGCCCTGGTCCCCCGCCTTGACCTGCTACCCCTTTCGCCCTTGACTTGTCCGTCCTCAACCGCCCCCTCCCCGTATGCCTTGTCTTCAACCTCCGCCCTGCCTGCTCGCTCTGCCCGTGTCCCTCTTCTCCTGGTCGCTGTATCCTGCTCCACCTCACCCGTGTCCCATTCACTCTTCCCCTCCTCCTCCTTTTCCTATCCGTTCCTCCTCTTCCTTCTCCTCCTCCTCCACCTCCTCCTGTTTCAATCGTCCCCGTCGTACTAGTCATCGTCCTCCTTCTCCGCATGCCCATCATCATAATTGTATGTTGCGTGTTGTGTCCCCACCCTCGTCCTGCCTAGCACTTCTGGCATTTCTGTGCCGTTCCCTCTCCTTTTTTCTCTATTTCTCTACATGTATGCTCTCTCTCTATGTATATATATATATATGTGTATGTATGTGTATGTATATATGTATGTATGTATGTATGTATGTATATGTATATGTATATGTATATGTATATATACATATATATATACAAATAACATACATACAAACATACACACACACACACACATATATATATATATATATATATATATATATATATATATATGTGCCACCGTGCCGCTGGGCACGGAATGGGCACGCGCTGCCGAATCCCATGAGCCTCAGTCCTCGATCCTGAGGGTCATGAAAGGGCTGGGGCTCCAAATGCACACATCTCTCTGGGCGTGCCGCGTGCCCCCGGGGCTCCAGGGCGGGTTCCCGCACGCCTTGCTCGGGCCCAAAAAAGGGCCCCAAGACGGGCCACGGAGGCCTTCGGAGGCCTCGGAGACGGCCCAGCGGGGCCCCTGGGTGCCGAACGAACGCCCCAAGACGTCCAAAATGGCCCCCAGGCGGCCCAAAAGGCCTCCGAGACGCCTCCAGCAGGCCCCCGAAACGCCTCCAAGAGGCATCTCAGGAGGGCCCCAAGAGGCCCAAATCATTAATTGTCCGTTGGT